TCATTCCTACCTAGGAGCAGACAAGCAGTAAACTACACACACACACACACACACACAAAAAAAAAACCAGTAACTTAAGCTGGGCGTGGTGGCATACACCTTTAGTCCTAGCAGTCGGGAGGCAGAGGCAGGCAGATCTCTGTGAGTTCAAGGCCAGCCTGGACTACATAGTGAGCTCCAGGCCAGCTGGGACTACAGGGAGACCCTGTCTCAAAAAGACAAAAACAAACAAAAAACCCCAGTAACTTGGAACTTGACTCAATGAACTCCCCAAATTAAAATATTTTCTAGGCAAAGATCATGTGCCTGAAAGCTAAGTTCTTTGTGCTGAAAGGTATATGCTTGGTCTTTATTTATAAGTTCCCAGTAATGATACATTGTCAGGCTCAAAGCAAGCAGTAATTGAACTTGCATCTTTTAAGAGCAGTGTACATGGACCCCTGGCTTGACTCTTCTTCTTGGTTTCAGAGTATATTTGCATTCTTTGTTCTTGGCTGGATATTTGTTCCTTTCTATGATAAGGCTAGGGTAAGTGTCCATTATCAGTTACTCTATAATTTACTATATATTTTTCTTATAAATATTGCATGTAGCTGGGTGTGGTGGTGCATGCCTTTAATCCCAGCACTTGGGAGGCAGAGGTAGCCAGATCTCTGTAAGTTCAAGGCCAGCCTGGTCTACATAGTGAGTTCCAGGTTAGCTGGAGCTACAGGGAGATGCTGTGACAAAAAATTGCATGTGTACAATGGAGTTCTATTCAGCAGTAAAGAAAGATGAAATCATGAAATTTTCAGGTAAATGGATGGAACTAGAAAGTGTTATACAAAGTGAAATAACACAAACTCAGAAAAAAAAATCGATGTATATTCTCCCTCATATGTGGATCCTAGAACCAAATCCTGATAAGTGAGTATGTATCCAGACATAACTACAGGAACCAGGATAATGGAAAGGAACCAGGGATATAAAGGAAAAGGAAGAACCTGAAAGAGAAGATCAGTAGGAAACGGGCCTTAATAAGGGAGATATGGATAAAAATTGGGTTAGTTTAGGGGAGGGGGGAGGGAAGGGTATACAAGGAACCTAGGGGAGCAAGGGAAAGAAGGAGCTCAAGAGAGGCAGGACCAGAGGAGAAGGGTATTATTAAGGGAGAAAGGGGAAAAATGGGGGTACCTTAATTAGGGAAACCATGATGGAGGGGTGAGACAATGCAAGAGATAATGCCTAGCTAGTTTTTAAAAACCAGAGGGATTTCTTTTTGGCCTATACTAATTTGGTCAGAGGGACATAAAGGACAGTTTTTGCTCTTTGCCCTCCTAGGTCGACTAGTTCCAGGGGACTATGAGCATCTCTCAAAATGTTCTATAATGGTGGTGGGTCACCTGTACTCTTGATCAAAGAGGCCGAGGAGATTCCACGAGATGGGCTTGAACCAGTGTCCAGTCTACAAAGAGGAGAGTCAACAGGGAGGAATCATTTCCTCCATGCTTCCAAGCGAAGCCAACCATGGTTGAGCAGGACCTTTGACTTATCTTCACATAGGCGGAACTGGTAAAAGAAAGGAGCCAGGGGCTCCTCCCAAGTCCATGTGACCCCTGAAGAACAGATCCTCAAACGGCCTTAAGAGTAGAAATAAATTGGTTTATCTGGGCCAATTGTATGGTCTTAAACACCCAAAAGGAAAGTATAACCAAAGATTAAAGGAGCCATTATAATTTTTTAAGACTTCATGTGTATAGCTATAGGCTACATAACAAGCAACAATGCCAGATAGGAGACACCTTCTTTTGAATTGTTGTCCAGGGTGGCCCAGGGAAATCCCAGACAGTAACCCAGCATAGAACTAGGAAACTGAACAGCAGACCTCAATCTTATCTAATGGAATATTGACAACTGATTGCTGCTAGATGAGGAACAGCTGACCTTCATAAAACAAAGCCCTCTAGATAGGCTGACTAGATTCAGCAGATGGACAAGTAGTGGGGAATGGCTGGGGGTGCCAACAACACAGTGGACAGTAGCAGGGATAACAAAGTATAAGGGCTCTAGTGGGGCAAGGGAGGCTATGGGAAGGTGCCATCTGGGAAGTGGGTGTATAGTTGAATAAGATGGTTTGGGATGTTCTGTGTGATATACACACAAAAAAAATCAACAAATTAAAGAAAAGGAATTATATTTGAGGAGGAAGCATAAAAATTTACATCATGTTAATTAGTAGAAGTGATAAACTTTACCATTGAAATCTATCCAATGACTTTATAGACATACACAGGTGCCAAGGATCCGAGTGCAACCGAGTATGACTAGTCATAATCAGATACATACAGATGAGACACACATGTGCCAACATCTCAGTGTTACTAGCAAAAACAATGAGTCTTTCTGTAAGAAACAGTATATTTTAAAATGGAATGGAGATCTTTTTGAAGGTTAAAAACTCATTCAATTTTATGTCTTACAGGGTTTATACTGAGTTCAATATTGTATAACTGTATTAATTCAACTGCATATAAAACTATGTTTAAAAGATAAAAAAATAAAAGTACCTGCCAGGCGTGGTGGCGCACACCTGTAGTCCCAGCACTCGGGAGGCAGAGGCAGGCAGATCTCTGTGAGTTCAAGGCCTGCCTGGTCTACATAGTGAGTTCCAGGCCAGCTGGGGCTGCAGGGGGACCCTGTCTCAAAAAGACCCCCCCCCAAAAGTACCCATATTTAAGGTAATATGTATCTTTGCTCTGGAAATTGTTATTGAGTATGCTAAAGCTGTAATGAAATGCTTCTTCTAAAAAAAATTGACATTAAAAAAAAGTTCCAATTAGTGGGAGAGTAATAAGCAAATGGCTGATACCAATTAGGAAACTGAAATACTAGAAGCCATTATTAAGATTTTAAAATAAAAATAGTATTTAGACATAAAATAGGGAGCAAAATACAGTAAACAGAAATAGTATAGCCAAATCTGCTTTCTCTTTAGCTACACTAGAATGGACCTTGCTTAGCACCCATAAGTGAAAGAAAGTTTACCTCATCTAAAACTGGAGGTAAAATAAGTGAGGCAAAAATAAATATTGCTAGTTTCTAGGATGGCTGAGTATTTTCTAAACCAGAAATGTTTAGAAAGGAGCTTTATGGCACCAAGTCAATTGGCAGCAAGTTTGCAGTTCACAGGCATTTTAATTCACCCTTCAAAGGAAACACCACACTCCACAAATAGTTTCCAGTAAATAAACTGCCTCAGCACTGTGGTTTGAGAAAAGCCTATTCCTGTTAGGTAGAGGCAGGGTATGAGCTTAGTTCTGCCATGAAGTGGACTTGTAGGAAACAATACAAGGATACACAGCTGTTGGCATCCTGCTGCCAAGGAGCACAAGGGGCAGAAATGGAAGATGTGTTTTGAGAGGAAATGAAGGAGGGATACAACACTGGAAGGAAAGAGGCTGAGCTCAAGTTCAACAAAAGCACCTAAGCTGGAACAAAGCAGGTGAGCGGTGGTCAGTCTAAGCATCTGTTCAAAACGTATCTGATCACAAGGTGTCATAATTTCCCAGTTACAATACAAATGATTCTCAGATGTCATTTTTCTCATATAGCAATATGTCACCATGTAATATGACAGTATGAAGGAGGACAAAAGCTTGCTTGGCCCTAGTTTGACTTCAGCATAATGCAAGATCCCCTGAATGAATACATTAAAAACATATCTAGCGCAAGAAAACTGACCACATGCAAAGACTGCTAATTTTATAACTACAAAAAGTCAGAATTCTTTTATACCAGTGGTCACTGAGAAAAGTACCACATGCTAGAATTCTCTTTCACCATTGATCCATCATATCCTTGAAATTAGTTGAGGAAACAGGAAGCAAATCAGTGTTTCTCTCAGGAGCTATGGAGCACTGTTACTTCACTGAGGTAAGACAGGAGTGACAGGAAGCAAACAGTATTTCTTCCCTATCCAATTTTTAACCACTTCCGGAAACAGATAAAAAACCAGTCAATAATAACGTGAAGGACACTGGAAAGAGCTACTTCTTTTAGACTCCTGAGACCAAACATATTAAACTTTTAAATCTGGTATTTTTAAAAAATATTTTATTTTTTTATTTTTATATGTATGAGTGTATTACCTGCATGTATATAAGTGCACTGTGTTGTGCAATGCCCTCAGAGACCAGAAGAAGGCACTGGATACCCTGGATACAATGGATTCATGCAATGTCACAGAGGTCAGAAAAGGGCTTCGGATTCCCCTGGAAACGGAGTTAAGGATGGTTCACAGCCACCATGTGGGTGCTGGGAGTTGAACCTGGGTCCTCTGCAAGAGCAGTCAGTGCTCTTAACCGCTGAGCTATCTCTCCAGCCCCTAAATCTGAAAGGAAAGATTTATATCAAAAGGTGATTTTCATAATAAAAATTGCTGGATAAGCTAATCCTACATTAAAAATATTTAAAAAAAAAGAGAGATGGGGTATAATAGGAAGTCTTGTAGTCGCTGACCTTGGGTGGGATATTAGGACCCTGGTCCCTTCCTCCCATTTCCTTCTGCTCATGAGGTGAACAGCTTCGTGAAGCACACTCTTGTGTCATGATGAATTTGCTACTACAGAGCCAAAGCAATGGACCCAATTGGCCATGAACCAATCCTTCTGAAACTATGATCCAAGATAAATCTTACTTTATTTTGAGTTGATTTATATGAAGTATTCGTTGCAGTAATAGGAATAAGACACACATTGATAAGTAGAGGGGGAAACACACAGATACTCCCTTTTGTGTTCTTTACAAGCTGGTCAGTTGAGTTCAGCCACATGAGTAGAAACAGGTGAGGCTCAGGACAAAACATTGTATTGTGTATACCCACGGGTCCCAGAGATAGGAGGGGCCCAGAGACAACTTGCCACACAGCCCCACATGGGAAAGATGGCAGACTCATCAGGAGGCAGAATATGGGAGTTGAGGGGACGGTGTAGGCCATGGGCTTTATTGGGGTTCCATAGAGAAGGTAAGGCAGTATAGAATAAACGGTTCAGGATTGCCTGGTTTGAGAAATTTCATCAGGCTTTGGGCTCTAGAGGTGTTTCTAGTCAAATACCTGGTCTTGAGATGATTTCATCAGAAGGTGTTGGTCTTGGGGTGCACAAGCAAGGGAGGAGGTCAGGGTCTGCACTGCTGAACTTGCTATCAGAGGCCTGCTCCAGCCTGGGCCTTTGTTGCTTTTAGGAACTGGCTGTTCTTGAGAAGTTCAGGTTATCCCCAGCCAGAAAGATATTTTTTCTGTCTTATCTTTTTATTGTAAAATGATAACAAAAACCACATAAATAAACATGTAGCTTGACAGAATACTATGAGCAAAACATCCTCTTCAGTACAGGTAAGCAAAATGTTATGCTTGGTTTTCAGATGTCATTTTTTCCTTCTGTTTAATGCATGTAGAATATAAAAGTAAATCATGGAATGCTGCAGAAGAGTAATAAATTTTTCCAAAATCATCATCATTACAGTTCTCCTCAGAAGCAATCGAGAATCAC